CATTTATAATAATTAAGTTGTCGCCCTGGTGGCACAGATCCCCATATTTGCTCTAGTATATTTGTCTTCCATTTGATCTGGTCTTTTTCTTCCTCAGGTTTCATCTGGTTTAAGTAAAGAGTCATGTCCCATTTTGTAGTTGTTGTTTGATTGTCTAAGTTATCAATAGGCTGTACTTGTTGATCTGATTAATAGAAGGATAGAATCAAAATCATGTGAAGTTATAGTACTGCTTTACAAAGTCTTAGTAAGACCACACTTGGAATACTGCATCCAATTCTCATCATCACAATGTAAAAAAGTTGTTGGGACTCTGGAAAAAGTACCGAGAAGAGCAACAAGAATGATTAAGGGGCTGGAGGCTAAAACATAAAAAGAACAGTTACAGGAACTGGGTATGTCTAGTCTAATGAAAAGAAGGACTAGGGGAGACATAATAGCAGTGTTCCAATATTTGAGAACAAAGATGAGTAGGTCAAATTATTTTCCAAAGCACCAAAAGACAAGACAAGAAACAATGGATGGAAACCCACCAAGGAAAGCAGCAACCTAGAACTATGGCAAAATTTCCTAACAATGAGGGCAATCAAGCAATGGAACAACTTGGCCTTAGAAGTTGTGGGTGCTCCATCACTGGAGGCTTTCAAAAAGAGATGGTTAACCATTTGTCTGAAATATATAGAGTCTCCTGCTTGAGCAGGGGATTGGACTAGAAGACCTCCAAGGTCTCTTCCAATACTATTATTCTATGTTCTAAAGCGCTAAGAAGGAGATAGTGGGAAACTATTTCTGAAATCTTGCAAAGAAAACTGCAGGGATTTCTTCTTGCAGTCAATAGATATAAATAGATATAAATAGATATAAATTCTCAAATATACTATGTCCTCCTGATCTTTCAGTTCCATTGATACACAATGGCCAAGAAATTTATGTAAATGTCCTGCCCTTCACTGTACAATCATATCTCCAGAGGTGTGTAACTTTTATGGCTTTTGTTTTCTTCCTAGTATTTTCCACAAGTGCATGGTCCACTTTTTTTGATCAAACAATTGCTGATCCATTTGATTGTGACAAAAAGTGACTGACTGGCTTGTCACCCAAGCCTGACATGATAGGCTGAGAGAGACTGGTCCAAAGTCACCCCCCATGGCTTTCACAGCTCAGGAAGACCAGAACTAACAGTCTCCTGGTTTCTAGCTTGGTGCCAGACTGGATTCATGGCTTTGCTGCTTTAATTAAATTTCCAAGAAAAACATCATTAGGAATGATAGATTTTGTGAATAGCTGTTGAATTACTAAGGGGGACATCTGTTCTTAAGAAATAGTTGCAGAATTTCTCCTTATCAGGGAGAAATTTAGATGGATTTCATCCAGTTTCTCTACCCGCAAATTCAAGAATTTAATATTTTAGAGCAGGTATCCCCAACCTATGGGCCATGGCCCGGTACTGGGCCCTGGCCTGTTGGCTACTGGGCTGCTGGAGTGGCTGGCAAGTGCACGTATGTGTGTGTGGACCCCCCTCGTGCTAGCTCTGCCATGCAAGCGCTAGCAGCCCCATTTGCACATGCGGGATTGCTAGCTTTGTTGCCAGCATCACGCGGGTGCTAGCAGCACACTTGTGCATGAACACGGGCACTAGCGGCCTGTTTGCACATGCCTATGGTGCCAGATCCACCTCTGGGGATGCACGTGGCTTGCTTGCACATGCGTGGGAGCGCTAGTACCACTGTCATGCAGGCACTCAATTGCACATGTGCATGTGGGGGGGGGACACGCACAGACATTTCCCTGTTCCTCCATTTCCCTTCAGGCCACAACCTAGAGAGATTGGGGAGCTCTGCTTTAGAGTATTAAAATGTATAATGTTTTTAATAGAGCTCAAGCCCAACTTAATGTTGGGCTGTTGTTATTATTCTTATTGAACACCATCAAGAATCAGACTTATTCCATCACCATTTACTTTATATGATTCAGTTGGACTAAGCTAGGAGCAAGATCTATAACTAGTACAAAAATACACCTTATGCAAAAATATCAAGTGAAGTAGTAATCATCTTCACTTTTTGTAGTTGCATCTGTAGCTTGTTCTGCTTCGTGCTTAGTCGTTGGAGGCTGTGACCAGTAAACTAGTTTTCTTCCCATCTAAAACAAAGCCAAAAAATATAAAACCTTCATATACATTGGATTTTTAAAAGCAGTCTTAGTTTTCCTGTTAACGTTTCCATACATAGTCTTTCAGTTATATTTTATACAAATGTAGAAACACTTGAAATGGATTCCTGTAGGTGGATCTACTTAGAACAAAACTGTCAGACAAAACACACTCATCCCAAAGTTGCTTAGTTCTGAAAAAAAAAAAGATGCAGCCTTTTTAGCCTGGGAACCAAATAATATCACATCACTGGACACCTTCCACCACTCTATTTGAATTCTGAAAACATTTCTGAAAACATTAGTTTAAGATAGTCATGACTAACTTGGTCCCATTAATATGGATATGTATCTTAAGGCTAGATGTTAAATATCCTACTTTGATTGAAATTATGTTGTGCTGGTATTGATCCAGAAGCTAGGTATCTGCACATTTTTGTTTTGGACTTTATAATGAAGAAACTAGATAAAAAAGTTATTTAGACCAAAAGAAAAAGAAAAAAGAATCAGTATAAAGTTGGACAGCCTTATTGTCAGGGCCCACTTCAAAACCTCATCCCAAGAAAGCAGGACTCTTGGAACAGTTTCATTCCAAAAGGAATTTTTATTAGGAGAAGCTGATAGCAGTCATAGAAGGTAGGATCTGAGGGTTTCCCGCTCAGATCAATAGGTTAAAAGAGTCCCAAGCAAACCCTACCCCACTAGTTCATCCAGTCAGTTTGAATGGGCCAATCCTCAGGTGTTAAGTCTGCTGTGGGAACGGAGCTGATAAGGGGGTCTGTTCCCATGCTTGTGAAGATGTGGTTGGGTCTTTGTACCTTTCCTTCCGCAACGAGAGATAAGCCAGATGGAGGCACATTCCTTTCTCACCCCAGGTTGACAACAAAGGAGAGACAGGTCAAAGAGTATGTAGAAACAGCGGAAAGGATACATTGTAGCAAAGCAGAAAACATACCACAGAGCCTTCTGCCCTCCCCCTCAGGAGAATGGCAGAACCCTCAGAAAGAAATTAAGAAGAAATGAAATAGATTCTCCCCACCAGGGAAATAATGAGTTCTGACACTTATAAATGTAATGAAATAAATATTTTTCTGCATTGGAAAAACAGTTAAACATCTTCATCTGGGAATGAATTTAGAGAGCACAAAGGCCTTCTGTCAGGGCATGCCTTGAATATATGGTGTACCTTTATCTAGTTTCTATATTAAAAAAAAACTATTATAATTGCATGGCCAAATAAACATTAGAAGGCTAGAAAATTGAGAAAAGATTTTGTAGAGTAATTGTCTGACTTATCCAATTGCTTTATGTTTACCTCATATTTCTGCTGTGTCACTGTTCTTTATTCACTTAAATGTGGAACACGATAAGATATACATATATTTTCCACTGGAATTGGTTATATGTTAACAGGTGAAGGGCAAGAAAGTCCTATTGTGCTAAATTGTTTCATAATACTAAAAAAGGCATCGTATCATGGATGACTCTACCAAGGCTGAAGGCTGGAACACCTGTCCTATCAGATGACTCTCTCTTTCTTTCTGTGCTTTAGAGGTCATTGCTACATTTCGGGTGTGTCAATTGTGTTGGATTTAAAATGAAAAATGAAGTCTTTTGATATTAAGTGCTGTGAGGCTAATAAATTGTGACCTGTATTATTACAGTGCAATATTTACAACCATTGGGAATCTCGATTTCTACGTAATGGATTGCAAGGGAAAAATTGTACCTTTGAAGGACCAAAAGAAACCTAAAAATTTATGAGGAAACTGCCTCAGAGACCCAAAGAAATAGTCGTAGGAAAAGTGTTTGTCTGCTTTGTATTTGTTATTTTGAGAACAGAGATGGGAGACCCTTTCACTTAACAATTCAGTTCCCCTCCCCCCCAAATGGAATTCTCACAGTATATGTAAAACATTTATCATAGCAAAAGCTAGCAACTATTCTTGTGTTCGGATTTTTTTTCTGGGTTGGTATGCTTGCTGATTGACTTCTTAGGAAGATGGAAAGATTTTTAATGTGCAATCCATTCTCTCTTCCTTGAGTATTTATGTTTTTACTTATTAAATTTGTTATACAATCAACTTCTTTCAGTATATTGCAATAGTGTGAGAACATAGATGCTATGGCCTAGTGTAAAATTATTTTAAATGCTAACATTTCAGATAGCCAACATTTCTAGGTTTTTATAGGCTCCTGTACTGCATTAAGTGCAGTATTGCAGTCAAATTCTGCCCATAGCCTGGAGTTTGAACCTGACAGGGCTCAAATTCAAATTCTGGTTTACATAGATTTTGTTAATATTTGTAAAATCTGAGCTCTGTAAGCGAATGATGGAACTATTGCACAATACCTATTTAATTCTGGCCCATGTTTATAAACTTGGGTTTCAAGACAAGTTGGAAGTCATAGGGTTCTTTTATTTTTAATCTTACAACTTTTATTGTTTTATCAATTTGTAAAATACAAAGAAAAATAAAAATAGAAAATTGAGGAAAAAGAGGGAAGGGGGAAAGAAAATACAAGGTACAAGGGAAGAAAGAAAAAAAGCATTGACTTCTAACTCTTTTTAGCACAATACAAGATAACAACATTACAGTCTCAACTTTTTACTTTTACACATTAGTATATAATTAGCCATTTCCATAACAACAAATCTATCTAATTGGCAAAATCAAAGTTAAATTTTATTTTATTTTCTTCACAAGCATAAAATCCAGAAGTGATGTCCAAATGTATTTCTATTTGCACTTAATAATCTATAATCCATCACCATTTATATTAACAAAATTCACTGTATTCTTTCAAATTCTTTAACCTTAAAGGAAAAAATATTTTTCTATCCATTTTAAAACACTAAACTTTTCTTTAAAAACATTTCTAAAATCAAAACATTCCAATACATCTTTTTTAAAATTTCCTTTAACATACATATTTTAAAGTTCAATTTCAGATCAATAAAATTCCAACTCCAATTGACTCATTACATTTAGACCAAGTTACCCTCATAGAATATTTTTTTCTTTTTGTATACTTCCCTTTTAAAACTCTAAACTTTTCTTGTTAATGTCCATGAGGAAAAAATCCCAAACTTGTCCTTTTAAATGTAGCAGATTTTCTTGGAGCTCTTTTTCAACTGTGTTGGGAAATTTATATTTAAACCATCATAATAAAAATTGGTATCGGGTTTATATTCCAAAGTTGCAACTGACTCCTCTGCATTGTCAGATACTTGTGAAATTACCTTGGTGGTTTGGTAACTTTCTGCACATATTTCCATCAATGAAATAGTTTGAGACTTTTTTTTAATGTCCTTGGAGCATAGCTGATCTATGAACTAATGGATTTTATTTAAAGATTATTTGAATACATCTCTAATAATTTGCTCCTTCCTTCCTCTTAACTACCTCTTTAGTTAAAAAGTAGCTCCATACTTCCTTTTAGCATTCTTTTTCCTAGTTGTTTAACAATGAAAAAATCCCCCAAATGGCACAGATCTTCAAAAAGGAATAATAGGCTGTGGCTAAAGAATCCTTTTTTAGCTGAATAAAGATTAATAGTCCTTAAAAATTAAGAAATAAAAGGCACAACTTACTGTCTCTTTGAAAAATAAATTCCAAAATGGCTACTTCTTTACAATGAACTGATTGAGGTCCCATCCCCCACCTTTTGGCATGCAAGCTACTTCTAAGCAAGAGCTCTTGAAGCTGCTTGCAGACCTTTGTTTTATCAGAAGATCTTGTGGATAATTCTAGAACTTTCCCTACCCCAGGAGAGTCAGATAAACTAAAGGAATGCCAGTTCCTTCTGTTGGTAGTTGAAAAAGCTACAGTCCAGGGAAAACCCCTTCAGGGATCCTTTTCTCTGTGTGTTGTCAGTTGGCCATTTTTTCACCAGAAGTCTGGATGTTATAGGGTTCTTGAGGATAGAATATTTCTATTTTATTTTACTGTGGTATGAACACTCTAAAGCCCATAAAATTGCTTTATTGATATTTTCATGCTGCTTGTAATTTTTCATCAATTAATTGAGTTGTGGGAACATTTGTGTCACTGTTCAAATCAGATGAAAAATATCTTTTTTGTGTGTGCCTTCAAGGCACACACAATTTAACATAGTCGCTAGTTAAATTCTAAATTCCTAACAGCTAAATTCTGTTAGGAATATTTTCCCAAACAGGACATTACACAGTAGGGAACATTTTACATTCTCTCTAGTTATTTTAATGGGCTTCCTAGGAACCATATTGGTGTTGTTGTAGATGGGGATGAATTCTTTATTTTTATTTGACTCCTGGTAACTGCCTGGGAGTTTTCCAGACGTGGTTTATCATTGCCTTCTTCCTAGGCCTCAGAGAGAGTGACTAGCCCAAGGTTACCCATTTGGCCTTGTGTGTGACTAGAATTCATGATCCCCCAGTTCTAACCAGATGCTCTAACCACTATACCAAACAATGATCACTGTATTTTTTAAAATTCCTCTAGCCAGATTAATGGTGCAATTTATTTAATTTATGAACTACATTCACTGCCTCAATCTGAACCATTATCATCAACTAGATCTGGTCATTTAAGGGAGGAGCTAAACTATTAAGGCAGTTCCTCCCCTTCCTACTCATTATAGACACCTACATGCCATGGTGGATAGATTTGAAAACGTTGAGAGAGTTGAGACCTTCCTTCAGGTTGCACTAAAAGTCATCCATGACACTGAGCCACATGATTTCTCCCATGAACCAGCCTTTGTCAGATGTCCACCTACTTTTTGCTTTCCACAGTTCTCTCTAACCTTAGCTACACCACCCACCCAGTAAGGGGGAATTAGAGATAAGATGGTAATTTTTTATTTTCATTGGATCCACATTTGGCTTCTTGATCTTTCATTATGGTGTACCAACTGAGAAAAAAATGGGAGTAGGGATAGGGTGGGGTGACATAAGATGAATGGGTACGTAATCAGTAAGATAATAGGTTACTTTATTTGAAAAGAAAAAATACATGAAATCATCTTTGAAGTCAAACTGAGTCTGACTCAAAATGTAAGCATTTGCAGCTATCTATTTTCATTCTTTATAATCTCGTAATTGCATAATAATTGGTAATTCAAGAACATTTTTTGAATACAGTTGCTATTAGGTATATACCCCAAATAAAATATTCTTTTCACATATGTAACAAGCATATTGGAGCTCAGAAGAATGGCTGCATAGTTGAGTGGAGGAATATCAAGGTCCAGCTGATTCTAAAAAGGGAACATCTTGCTTCTTCTGGATTTCAGCCAAAACAAATCGGGAGTAGTCTTCCAAAGCAAATAGGGCAAAGTTGGTGTACTTCTCCTTTCACTTCCCTCTTCTGCATGGCCTATTCCTGTTCTGAATAGAAAGAAAGAAAAGTCTTCATCCTGGTTCATCCAAGCCGGGGATAAATAAACAACATGGCGACTGCTTTAGAAAGAAGGTTGCAGTTTATTGAAGAGCCAGACTGAAAGATGGTTCTGGCAGGAAAGAGGAGAGAAAAGAAAGACTGAGCACATGTGGGAAGTAGGTTTTTATACCCACTGAAGCTTTTTGTTTGGAATAGTTTCCTGTTCCTGTGTTGAGGTTTTGTATTTCCTGTGTCACATTTTCTGACCTGAGTCTGGGTGTGCCTTTCTGGTATTATTTTTTTTTTTTTTTTTAATTGAAAAATTTTAAAAACTTTTACAAAGACAGAAAAAAAACAATAACAACAACAACAACAAAAAAAACAAAACAATACAACCCTCCCCCAACCCCTCCCAAACCACCCCCTCTCTCCCCCCCGGAGCTTCCCAGAGCAGAATATAGGCTTAATTAAAAGAAATTAACAAAATTATAAGATAATTAAGAATAAAATATATATGAAAAAAGAATTATAAACCTTAAAAAAAAGTATTTAAAAAAGAAAAGCAAAGAAAATAAAAAGAAAAAAATAGAGTTTTTATACAAGTTATAAAAAAGCTAAGTGATATTTTTTCATATCCAATTTAAATTGTATAAAATTTATCCATTTTTCCCATACAGCAAAAAATTTCTCTTGCGTTTGCTCTTTTAAGAAAGCCGAAATCTTTGCCATTTCCGCCAAGTAAGATACTTTAAAAAACCACTCTTGCAAAGTAGGCAAAGATTCCTTCTTCCAGTATTGACCTACTAACAGCCTTGCGGCTGTAATCAAATTCAACATCAATATAACCTCCTTAGCATCACAATCAGTAACAATACCAAGCAAAAACAATTGTGGAGTAAATTTTACCCTCTTTCTAAAAATTCTCTGAATGTTCCACCATATCTTAATCCAAAAAGCTTTTATATTTTTACACGACCACCAAATATGATAATAAGTGGCATCCAGGCAGCCACATCTCCAACATTTAGGCTGTAAGTCAGGATACATGAGAGACATCTTTTGTGGATCAAGGTGCCATCTGTAAAACATTTTATAAAAATTCTCCCTTAAATTCTGGGCTTGTGTAAACTTAACATTTCTCACCCAGATAGTTTCCCAGGTATCCAGTAGAACTGGTTCACCAAAATTCTGCGCCCATTTAATCATACAGTCTTTAATTAATTCTGATTCTGAATCTAGTTCCACTAGCACCCCATAAATTCTCTTAATGTGAGTTTGTCTTTGATCCTTTACTTGCTTAAAAAGATTTTCATCTTCTCTAAGCAGGCCTAGATTACAGTCCATCTTCCATCTATCTACTAATTGTCTATATTGAAACCAAGAATAGGTAATATTTTCATGTACTAAATCTTCCAAAGATTTTAACTGCCAATTTTGACCATCCCATCTAAGTAATTGTGTATAAGACACCGTATCCATTTTAACACCTCTTTTTATCCCCTCTATCGCATGCCAAGGTATAGCCCATAGTGGTATTTTAAAATCACTTTTATAATATTTCCTCCAAACCCTAAGTAAAGAAATCCTTATAATATGAGATTTAAAGGCCCAATCCACTTTTTTATTACATATTAAATAGGCATGCCAACCAAAAAGTAAATCCCATCCCTCCAAATGGAGTATCTCTAAATTTATTAAATTTACCCAATCACTAATTAATGTTAAAACCACAGCTTCATAATATAATTTCAAATTCGGTACCTTGAGTCCACCTCTCTCACGGAAGTCCTGCATAATTTTAAACTTTACCCTTGGTTTTTTCCCTGCCCAAATAAATTTATTAATGCCTTTCTGCCATTCATTTAAATTAACCTCATTCTTTAAAATCGGTAACATTTGAAATAAAAAGAGAAATTTTGGCAGGACATTCATTTTAATCACTGCAATTCTTCCCATGAGAGATAGCTGTAAGTTCTCCCAATTTTTCAAGTCTTTTTGTACCCTGACCCACAACCTTTCATAGTTATTCTTAAACAATTTTACATTAGAAACAGATAAAATAACCCCCAGATATTTTATCTTATCAACAATTTCAAAACCAGTCAAATTAGCCAAAATCTGTTTATCACAAGTAGTCATATTTTTAGATAATATTTTAGTCTTATTATTATTAATTTTGAAACCCGAAACTAATCCATATTGATATATCAACTGTAATAACTTCACTACGCCTTTCTGGTATTCTTGATGGTGGTGGGTTAATCCTATTATATCCCAAGGGTTATATCCTGCTTCCCTGGTATTGGAGCTAATGACTCTTAGAGTTTGGGTGGGGTATGCAGATTTTAGGTGTCTTTGTCTTCTTGATCTCATAGCTGGGGCCTTTCTGATAGTTTACATCTGCATTTGTACAGAGCTGGCTTCTGCTTGGGACAGAGAGACTTGGGGGCAGGTTGGTTTCTGCTTTTAAAATCCTTTCTGCCCTTTTAATATTTCCTTCTCTGGGGAGCTGACTTCCCTCAATAGAACTGGATTACAAAGTTTTACATTCTCCACTAAAATATTCAGGCTTTGCAAAATGATGTAAAACTTTGCTGAACTGTTACTAAGAGGGCAAAACTTGGTATTTTGTGGGAGGTGTGAAGTTAGCTCATTTTTGTTTGCTTTGCTTTGAAAACATAATTGCTAAAGACATGTAAGCAAGCTTTACAGGATTATGACATTGGGATGGTCTAACCCTCCCCACCCTTTTTTGCTCTATAGAATTTATAGTTGTTTCTTGGACCTGAGATTTTCCCATGGGAAAATGTGAAATGATTTCAATTGGGAAAACGACACCCCAGAAAAAGACATTGTCTTTTATCCTCATTGGCATGGTATAATCTGATCCTGGACCATGTAACAACTGCAATTCATCATAAAAGGAAACTTTCATTTTAAAAAGAAGGGAAATGAAAGGAAAGATTCAACTATAGATTTTCCATATGATATCTGTATGCTTATATAGTTTTCTAATCAGAATTTAAAAAATAAGTGGAACTCTAATTTTAACTATAGTCGCTAGTTAAATTCTAAATTCCTAACAGCTAAATTCTGTTAGGAATATTTTCCCAAACAGGACATTACACAGTAGGGAACATTTTACATTCTCTCTAGTTATTTTAATGGGCTTCCTAGGAACCATATTGGTGTTGTTGTAGATGGGGATGAATTCTTTATTTTTATTTGGGCTAATTACTATAGTGGAGAATATACTTTGCATTAAGACTTCCACCTCTCTGAATATGATATTTCCCATTACATGAGAAAGAAAATGCTAGATAATATTTTGCAGGATGCTTATTATGTCTATAACCATTTGTAAGGGCATTTTAAGAACAGACTGTTAAAGTCTGCAGCATTTCCATCACTCTATATAACTCATTGGCCATTTGTCTTGTTATTTCACAGCACTTTCATAAAACTTTGGAGAGGCTTTATCACAGTGATGGTGAACCTTTTAGAGACTGAGTGCTCAAAAAATGCCCCACCCCCACTCCGCCCCACCCCACCCCTCTACGGCCCACCGCAGATCACCCAGGTGGTTCTGCAGTGCCATGGCAGCCATGTCCTCTGCCTGCGCCCCGCAGCATCATCTGCATGCGACAGGGCACGAGGGTAGAGTCTTGACCCTGCTGCCCGGCTGTCATGTGCTTGGCTGCATTGCTCCATGTGGCTGTGCCCAGGGGCGACTCTCCTCCGGAGGGCTGCTGGTGAGGAGGGGGCATGGGGGGAGACGGGGCTGGGGTGATGGCGCACGTGCCCTCAGAGAGGGATCTGAGTGCCGCCTCTGACATGCGTGTCATAGGTTCACCACCACTGCTTTATCACATGTAATTGTTTCTGTCAGATTGCCTCTGTCTGCTAGACCACAGACCAAATATAACTACTCTTTTGTTACTGCATCATCACAAGTCTTCTGTATTATTACAGAGATTGATATAGGACTTTGCAACAAGTTTTGCAATACAGCAGAATTGTTATCTCTTCCAGGTGTCATGTTGGATTGCAATGATCTTGGGTTTTTCTACATCCTTGCTATTGCTTGCTGTTTCAGACCTAAGGCTTTCCTAACTTTACCAGTTGTGCTTCTCTGCATTTTAAATTGGTTTCTGAAACACTTCATTTACTTGAATGCATAGTAACCAACTGTTCTGTTTAGACAGATCCGGTTGCAGTTTGTTTGCCATATTTTACATATGCCTAAAGACCAGCATTCAAAAATTGCGCTACTTTGGATATCTCCTGGAGGAAAGAGAAATGAGGCTGGCCTTGGAAAATTGGAGCCAAACGCTTAAGAAAGATCTTAAGATTATTAATGTCTCTTGGGATGAAGCTGAAGATGCTCATATGATAGAAATCACTTGCTGCCCATGTGCTCTGCACAGGACCTAACGATGATGATGAGTTGCATGTCCAGTAGAAAAGGTATGTACATGGGGCAAGAACAAGCAAGAGACAGAACAAGCATTACAATATTGGGATGGAAATTCTATTCATTGGGTGTGTGGGAAGTCAGCCCTCCCCCCCCAGAGAAGGAAATATTAAAAAGGCAGAATATTATATTTCCTCAAAGGATCTTTAAAAGGCAGAAAAGCATGCCCAATTTTTCTTAATAGCCCAAATCTCCCTTCCCCAAGCAGAAACCAGTCTGTAGAAATGCAGATATCATAATCCTTTCAGAAAGACTGGCACCTTAGAGCTGATGGGATTAGGAAGACAAAAATCTAACACAGGAAATAATAAAATCATCAGCCACAGCCACAGGGAAGCAGGATATGACCTTTGGAAACATAATAGGATTAACCCACCAATACCAAAAAGGGCACACACAAAAGAACCTCAGGTCAAAGTTCATGCCAAAGGAACAGGAACTCCAAACATAAAAGCCCCAGAAGGTATAAAAACCATGACTCCCAGCTACATATGGTCAGCTTTCCCAGAGCCATGTTTCTGTCTGGCTCTGCTG